GCACACAGATGCCTGATGCCTCCGGAGATGCTGGGCAGCCCCCGGGCTACAAGGCTGCTCACTGCCTCTGCACAGGCTGGCAGCACCTAGTCCGGGTCTGTGCATAACCACTGGTGCTCATACAGAAGGCAGGGTATATGTGGAGAGACCATCCATTCCTGGTATGAATTAGTCCCGGGTGTCTCTATGCGAGATAGCAGCCCGGGATCACTCAGCAAAGGGAGCAGAAAAGGAAGAGGAGCAGGGCCCTGGGGGACAGTTGGAGGATGCCTAGCTTGCAGCACGGAGCAGCTCCAGAGTAGCAGTGACCCTGACACAGCAGCTCCACCACCACACATAGCCAGGGCCTCAAAGGCTGCAAGCCTCCCCCAAGCAGGTGGATTGCCAACTTCCTGCTGCTGCAGGCTCCTCCTCTACCCCCCAGCTTAGAGAAAACGAGAGGAGACTTGCCTGGAGCTGCTGACATGAGCCACAGTCGCACCTTGCCTGCCGTGCAGGCAGGCTCCAAATGCCTCTGAACAACGGCGAGGTAGGAAAAGCAGGCAGGAACTTCCGAACAACGAAGCTGCTTCTGGTTGTTATTTCTACTGCAAGCAGCTTGTATGCTTTCCTTGTAAAGAAACAGAGAGGGACATCACTTGTCTGCATTCTTCCCCAGTGGAAAAGTCCCAGCATGGTCCTAGGTATTTGCTAACCGCTCAGGCTAAAAGGCTTAACAGTGCTCCTGGTTTAAACACTCACTATGATGGTAAATAGATGTCTTAGCAATTTATATAACAAGAGAAACCGTTTCCTGACAGGGTGTTAAAATGAAGATGTTGTTGCAATATTTTAAAATCTTAAGACTATAACACCTTTAATGTTACCTAACCTTCAAAGCAATAGGAGTCCTTAATTATCAGGGTGTTTCCTAAGAAAGCTTTTCTCTTTAAAGAAATAGCTTGATTTTCTTTTCTGAATGTATTTTTCTTATTAGCAGAGAACACCAAACAGAAAGAAAAAATGAATGAAGCCCATTTCTTTGGTTAGGTTTAAAAAAGGTTTGAGTTTCTGTAAGATTTTTCTACCAAGGAGTGAATCTAGAAGAGTACTTTCAACAGTTTCTGACTGTGGAACCCCATACATTTTGAGTAGAGCTACTGACCCCTTTTGGATATCGCAGATAGGAACTGCTGTGAAAGGTACATACGCTTGCCTTTCTGAGTCATCCTTGGTATGAAAGTCAAATTGAATTCTCTTGAACTTTCCAAATGTTATTGAAATATTTTCTTTCTTCTGTAAGTAACGTTCCACTGTGTGTTTTGCATGCAAGGCCAGGGTAGCCAAACGAATACTAGAGCCGATACCTTTAGCACAAAACCCAGAAGCAGCTGCAGGGACTGCTGTAACACTGCAGTAACCTGGAAGTTTTCCTCTGAAGTGCTAAACTGTTACTCAGTGTCACAACAAAAAGCATCATATTTTATTATTTTGGTATATCTAAAACACTTCAATTTCTTGAAAGCAGGATGGGAAAGTTTATATATATATATATGCCATTTTGATCCCTTCAAAATAAATATATTTATCTAATGGGTGCACAACACTTCTTTGGGGTATTTATGCTTTCCTTAATGCCAAGAAGACTCTTTTCCTTTCCTAGGCTCCTCTGGCTTTCAGTTGTGTCACAAGAACACTTTCTGTCCAGTAACCTATAAAAAAACACCTACACTCCACTCCAGAAAAACAGTCACTTAGTAATTAATAATTGGGGAAGCTCAGTGAGTGGATGAACTCTGGCTTTCTCTGATTATTTACCATCTGCTGAGGCTGTGCATATAAGTCAATATTGCCATTTTGATTTACAGACTTTAATAAAACACTGAACGTGTGTTTAGCTACTTGTAATAGTTATATTTGTGTGTTGCTTTCACCACATTTTTTCAGTCATGCTAAGGAAAATAGCTTTTTTCTGTCCACCAGAAAGCTATGAATTAAAGCAATGGCTGGTCTGAGGGAAGACAATGTTACATATCACATCTCCTGCCTGTGTTAGCAGTGTACCTGCTCTATGACGTGCAGAACCACATCCTCAGCTGATGAAAACTGCAAGCCACTTTATTCGAACTATGTAGCTGTTCCTATGAAGTGTAAGAGGAGATTAATTTCCCTTGAATTTTGTATCAAGGATTTCAATAAATACCCTAGAGCTGGGTGAATCATTTGGGAGAGGAAAAAAGCAACAATAACAATGAAAACTCATGCAGGGAAAACAAACAAACAAACAAAAATCCTAAGCCAAAATAAAATGAAACTTCAAATCCATGAAAGATTACACAACCATAATCTTTTTTAAGAGTTTTGTCCACAAGCAAAATCTTTTTCTTCAGTGCACCTCTGGTTTGTGATTGCTCATCGAACAGGCTTGGTGACTACCTGTTTGGTTAGAGGTTGTTCAAAAGCAGCTCTTCGCAAGCAGGCAATTCTGAGCAGTTAATCTGAAGTAGACACATAGATCCTAGGATATATCGCCTCTTTTATTTTGGGGATATAACCATTGGCCTACCGGTGGAGTTTCTTGTATCTGACTGCTAGCGCAGAGGGAGTCTTTGTTTCCATCTGTGGAAGAGCCACATGGAATTAATAGGGCCAGAAATAGCTCCTGGTAAGTTATTAGCTCTGTGCCTTCCACCATTGCATGAAACCTACTCCTGCCAGAGATAGTCTCACCCTTAATTGAACCGTATTAAATCTGTGCCTGGGAAATTCAAGCTCTTGATGTAGCTGTGGATGATATTTTAACAAGTGACACAGAGTCATAATCCCATGGGAAGGGTCCTATCAAACATGCTGTACTTTTATTATCAAAAATGAGCTACAAATAAACTGTTGAAATGAGGGGCTGCTTCCAAACTGCCTCACCTGACTTGATCTGAGGGCCAGGCCTGATGTTTCCTGATTTTTTTTTCATATTTTCTTTTCATTGTAACACCAAATGTGATTCAAAAGTAAAACACTTTACACTGTGTTTTCAGTTTGCTCTTCTAGATCTAGCTGAAGTAGAAATCTTTCCCCAAGAGTGATTCAAAAGCTTTTGTTCCGAATAGTATCTTGCAGAAAAAATTAGACCAAAAAAATAGGCTTTGCCAAACTGTTTCCGTGTACTAAATGAAACAATCTCTGCGACTGCTCGTGAATGGGAATTTCTGAGAGGACCCAGGCAGTGAACGAGGTCCCTGAGGTGCTGGGGGTGCCCAGGGTGACCCCGGGGACGGTGGGTGTTCCAGGGCCCCCCGAGAGAGGCTGCGGGTGCCCTGGATGTTTCCAAGGGGCCGTGGGGGCCGCGGGTCCCCCCCGAGAGGGGCCGTGGGGGCCCCGAGTCCCCCCGGAGGGGCTGTGGGTGTTCCAGGGCCCCCCGAGAGGGGCTGCGGGTGCCCTGGATGTTTCCAAGGGGCCGTGGGGGCCGCGGGTCCCCCCCGAGAGGGGCCGCGGGGGGCCCGAGCCACCCCGGAGGG